TCAACTTATTCATAAATGATCTGGAGAAAGGGGTAAACAGTGAGGTGGCAAAGTTTGCAGATGATACTAATGACAGGTTTCAGATAAGCAGCCGTGTTAGTCTGTATCCGCAAAAAGACAGGAGTACTTGTGGCACCTTAGAGACTAACAAATTTATTAGAGCATAAGCTTTCGTGAACTACAGCATCCGAAGAAGTGGGCTGCAGTCCACGAAAGCTTATGCTCTAATAAATTTGTTAGACTCTAAGGCGCCACAAGTACTCCTGTTCTTTTTTCTGGAAATTTAAGTACACTATGTCCACCAGATCCCCCTTGTCCACATGTTTGTTGACCCCTTCAAAGAACTCTAATTTTGTGTCATTTTGATGAAGCCCGTGTGCCTCACTTTCCCCTCTATGCTGCACCATCACGCAGTGGGGAGAAGGTCTGTCAGCTCTCAAGGTAGGAAACCCACAGGTGTGAATGTCTTCAAGCTGCCTGGAGCCTTAGGGCCCCATCAGTGGCGTTTATGAGAAGACAATGGCAACCCCAGTGACCTGGATTTTGATACCTAGCGACCAGAACCACGGCCGGCTCACCTCTGGGCAGGGAGCCGAGCAGCGTTTGCTGAGCTGGAGAACGCAGGACCAGGGAGGTGCCGCTGGTTAATGGTTGGCTGCTGAGGGCTTTGGAGGGGGAACACCTGAACCAACCCAAGAGGAGGTCAGAGCAGAGGGCTTGGGCTGACCTGGATGGACTGGGCTGTAACGTCCTTCTCTGGCTAACCAAGAATTTGCCCCACTGTCCAGCCAGCTAATGAACCCATTGTTGCCAGCACTGGCTGCGTGACCCTGCAGATGCTGCCGGATGCTGCACATGTCTCCCCTGGGGTCTCAGTAGGACTTGCTGAGCAGAACTCACCGTGGGAAGCAGGGGGGGCTGCAGGCTCCTCCAGCCTAAGGAGGTGGAGGGGCCTGTGGCTTCCCCTGGAAGAAGAATGGACCCCCTCGGAAGTCTGGCTCAATGAAGGGGGGCCTCCCAGAGACTGCTCCAAAGCTGGGGTCTTAGTACCCGTCCTGTGGATCTACAACAGTGGGTCCAGCAGCTGGCTGGACAATTCTTCCTCCTCCCCCTAGTACTGTCCTCACCCCACCCCACCCCCATACTTGCCTTCTCCTGGTAGATCTCCAGGTAGGACATGGAGACGGAGTAGTCCCACTCGTCACCCCCAGGTGAGCAGCTCGCCTCTCGCGTCATCTGCAGGACATCCCGCAGCGCTCGTGGGATCACACCTGGCTGTTCTGGGCTGCCCAGCATGGTGTGCGTCTTACCTGGGGGGGAGGCAAGAACTCGGTTCCTCAACTTCCACAGCCCCCTCCCCCTCCTCCGGGCTCAGCCCCTCAGCCCAGCCTGCCCCTCACTCACCAGCACCGGTGGGGCCATAGGCCAGTATGCTGGCGTTCTGCCCCTCCAGCAGGTGGCACAGGACAGGCTGCACGGAGCCGGCGTAGATGTCATGCTGCGTGGCTTGATCTCCATAGAAGGAGTCGAACCTGGAGAACAGGGAAAGGGGGTGGGGGAAGGGCATGCTGTGATGTCAAGGGAGGATCTCAGCCCAGGGGCACTCCCAGCATGGGACCCCGCCCCCCCCACCTCCCACTTACTGGTACTGCAGGGTCTCCTTTTTGTTCCTCCAACTGATAATCTCCAGGGAGCGGGAATCCAGGCCACGGATGCAGGGGTCCCCCTGGCTGCAGGGGCGCAGGCGGACGCAGACCCGCACACGGGCCGGGGGGCTGGCGCGGCGGGGCTCGGCCATACTGGCTCGCTGCTGGGATGGCATGGTGCCTGCCACGGGGAGGCGGGGCTGGCTGCTGGGGGGAGGAGGATTAGAGAGACAGCAATGGGGGCTTCCCCCCCCTCCCCGGTGCCCAGCCCCTCCCCCACCTACCTCCCCCACCTACCTCCCCCGGTGCCCAGCCCCTCCCCCCTCCTTCCCCCCCCTCCCCGGTGCCCAGCCCCTCCCCCCTCCTTCCCCCC